AAGTTCCTTTTTTCACCCTCCACTTTATTATATGATTTTATTAAATATTTCTTTTGTATACATTGATAATAACCACATTAATAGTGTTATAAATTTTGTTTTAGCTGTCATACTTATTAGAAAAAATCAAGATGTGAAGGAAAGTATATTATATTTACATATATTTCTGCTCTGATCATATTTTCTTACTTGCTGTTATTTCAGGATTCCTTCTTTTAACATTTACTTCCTTGATAGTGAACTTCTTTTTGCCATTCCCTTAGGTCTGTTGGCAACAAATTCTTAATTTTTCTTCATCTAAGAATGTCTTGACTTCTTTATTTCTGAATAATATTTTTATTAGTATAGAATTCTGAATTGATATTTTTTCAGCACTTGGTCAAGAAATGTGCCATCATACAAAATTTTTTTTCCCCCATATATGTAGTGTATTGTTTGTTTCTGGCTACTTTCTTTGTCTTTAGCTTTCAGAAGTTTGACTATGAATTGATGTGGATTTTTTTTTTTTTTTGGATTTTTTTTTGGTGTTCCTTCAGTTTCTTGAGTATATAGGTTTATGTTTCTTGCTAAATTTGGGGAATTTTAGGCTGTCATTTCTAAGAATCTTTTTCTCTTCTGAAACTGAGACATGGATGATAAATGTCTCACACGTCTTAGAGATTCTATTAATTTTTTAAATTAATTTTTATTTTCTCTCTGTTCCAATTGGGTAATTTCTGCTCTTCATGTTCCTGTTCACTGATTCCTTTTTTATGATCTCTATTCTGTTGCTGAGCCCATTCACTGAATTATTTATATTAGTTACATATTTTTTAGTTCCAAAATTTTCATTTGGTTATTTTTTTATATTTTGGTATATATGAATATGTATATAGTATTCCTAGATTTTCTGTTTTCTTATATATATACATATTTGAAATGTGTTCATAATTGCCAGTTGAAATATTTTTTGAAAGCTGCTTTAAAATCCTTTCTAGATGATTCCAACATTTTGGTCATCTTGGTGTTTTTCTCTTTTGTTGTCTTTTCTCGTTCAGTTTGAGATCTTCCTGGTTCTTGGTCTGACTAGTGATTTTTTAATTAAAACTTGGACTTTTTAAGTATTATAAGACTGAATCTTATTTAAATCCTGTATGTTTGCAGGCTTTCTTCTGATGCTGTTCTGGTGGGTGAAGAGGGGGGCTACTTCATCACCGCCATGTAAGGGTGGAAGTTCAAGTTCTCCACTGGGTCACAGTAGGTTCCTTGTCACTGCTGAGAGGGTTGGGAATTTAGATCTTCCTTTGGGTCTCTGTTGATGCCAGCCTTTCTGGGAATTGGAGGGGCTCCCCACTAGCCTCCACTGATACTGCAGTTACAGATGAGAGGTCACGAAGGTATTCACTCTCCTTTAGGTCTCTCTGCTAATCCTACCCCAGTGGGACAGGCACCTTGTTTCTGCTGGGCAGAAATTGGAGTTATGTCCTCCTACATGGTTTCTAC